CCTGCATCCCTTTTTTTCAGAGGCTGCTCTTCCTTCTGCACTGCCCTGAGTTCAGCCCAGCTACTCATCCTTCCTGTACTCTAGGAAGAAAAGCCTACATGTGGAACAGCCATCTGCACCACCTCCATCAGCTTCAGCCCCGTCCTGTCACCCCCCTGATCTATGTCTGACTTTATAGATCCAGGTCTTCCACAGCAGAGTCTATTTCTTCACACTTTTTAAGGGCCAGAAATTGTTTTTAAATTAATAAAAAGACTGCAGCACCCTGCCATATACAATGCCTCCACTTTGTGGTCTGAGTAGATACAGTACCTTTCATTTTTGAGTGACAGTCCAGCACTGGGTCATGACAAATTGTGCATGGCCACCATGGGCGTCTGTTGAACTTGGCCCAAACAAGATCCCCAACTTCATACTTCACTGGAGTAGGTTTCTTCTTGGCTTGGATCTTTGGGGAAAAACCAGAACACAAGAAATCACTAAAGCTCCAGATGCTTTTAAAGAGATTTGCCTCCCCCCTGTGTGCAGATTACATCTGGCCACCAGAGACATTTACATTAAAAAGCAAGTCCTGATTTTACTTAGCAGCTCCTACACCTTCAAAGAACACAATGGCTTTCCCCATCCCTCTGAAAGAACAAAACAATAAACCAGTGTTTGAGAGGTGTTTTGTTATTTTTTTAGTAAGGAACATGACCTCTGGTAAATGACTGCACTCAAACTTCACAGTTTGAGCAGGTAAATATTTGGAGTCACTACCAGCCCCGATTACTTCACTAACACCAATCTGTTAATTTCAAAGGTTGCAGTGTACAGAAAAAGTAGTAGGAAGAGACAATGAAATACTCCTGTCTGGAAGAAGGTGATGAGGACAGCAAAATAAGTGTTTGTCAATCACAGGAAAAAAAGAAAAAGACAGTATATACAAGCTAATAACTTTCCCGCTTCTCCCATGTGCTCAGGAAAAAGCTTCACCATTAAGTATTTGAAACCAAAGGCAGGTACAATCAGGAAAAAAAAAAAAAAATCACGTCTTAATTTTTAGTTTATATGAGCACAACTGCCATTGCTCTGCCCCAAAACTACAGAGCAGGAGAAAGGGAGCACAAGGGCGGTCATCCCCCCTCTAGGGGACAGACAGACACAGACTTTGCTTGTCTCCAAAACCTGCCCACAAGCATTAGCTCTGTAGAAAGACTCCCGAACCCATTCTGCTTCCCAGGGCCAAGCAGCAATCACAAGAATGTCAAAATCTTTCAACACACAAAACCCTAACGCTGCTTAATGCCATTTCTGCCTCACTATCAAAGAGCACAGAGCAGATCCTGTGCTGTCTGCTCAGCACGCACACACCCTGGCTGGATGCTGCACAACCAGCGGGACTGCTGCCAAGAGGAAGATTCAGGAGCTTACTGACATTGTGAATAATTGAGCCAGGATGGGGTACAATAGGTTTTCAAGGAATACAGGAGTCCCCACGCCCAGCTGTGGAGTATCCTGCCTGTCTACCAGCACCAGCCAGCGACCTGTCCCAGGTGGGTTCAGCATTAAGAGCTGTAAGAACTGCTGCAGCTATTATTCTTGCCAATAAGCATCAGCAATATGCTTCTCATTACAGCTGTCACAGCACAAATACGCACCTTCTCACTTCGCTTCTCCATCCCGCTCACCACCCCTCCCGAGGCACGCCTCTTGCAATTCACAGTTCAACATCCTAGCAACTAAAATGCAACAGACCTCTCTAATAAAAGGTACATTCTGCTTCAGATTGAGTTTTATGGGTTTTCTTCACGTGGTTAAAGAAAGTACAAAAGGATAAGCTCCTCCATTACATGAAAAAAAAGCAGGTAACGATGTTACAGACTACATTGCTGAAATTCTTCTCACTCAGTCATCAAAAGCCACGCAATAACTTATCACTGAGCAGGAGCTCAGGAACCGGGAATGTGAATGAGCACCAGGCAGGGGGCTGCAGACCCTCGCTCTGCCACTGCCCTGCTGCAGCCTCCGTGCCTCCACTGCACCACAGACACAGCCCTTCTGGAATCCATGAGCATGGGAACCAGAGGTCCTGCCCTTGTTGGTACTTTTAAAAATGCAGATGCACTTTCAGATGGAAAACCCCTTTTTGGTCCATTTCCAGCTTGTGCTCTCCTTGTAAAAAAATTTGCCTCCAATTTTTTTTTTACACATTTTTCAACCCTAGGCTTTAAGGGGCATATGTATATCATAACTGATGATCTCAACCGCAGTGCATAGTACACAGACGATGCATGTGCACCCTGCTGACAACTGTCACCTGAGCAGTCATCTGGACAGAGCAGTGTAACTATGCTGGAGATTTGCCAAAGCTACTCACACCGATCCACCTGAGGGACACCACAACCCCTGCCTAGAGGCAAGTCTTGCATCTAAATCAGCTCTTTGTCACCCTCTAATACCCCACACAGGCACGAAAACTAGGCTTTAAAGAAACTATTCAGACAATGCTTAAACAGCTAACTCGCTTTCTGCAGCCATTCTCATTCCTCCCCAGTTTGCTCTCTCTCTTCCCCAGCACCAGCAGTCAGATGCTGGCCTCATGAGCACCCACCACAAAGGCCCCACTGGTGCATCTTAAGAGGCAGATCAGTAGCACACCATGTTCTGATGCCCCAGGAGGAGTTCTGCAACAGGACACACTGCAGCAGGTCACTGTCTTGTACTGTCTTCTTTCCACTCCCCCTAAATCCCCACCACCCGGCCAGAGACGCCTTTACATTAAAAAACACTAGCAGAGGAGTGAAAGCAGCACTTATCATTTCCAGGTACAGTACGTCTCTTCCTTTAAACTCTGCTGTGCGATGCCAAAATCACAGCCCCAAAGCACACATTTCTTGGGTCAGAATACAACAATTTCATTCTTATCACAACATTCACTAGGCCAAGATCAAACTGATAATATATCCTGACGGCAAAAAATTCAGCCCTGCAGTAATGGTGACTTTTCTGTGAGCTAGGGAAAGCCCGGTTTGTTTTGTTTTTTAAACACAACAAACTTGAGATGCAACCCCTACATATGGTCAGAGTACTGTTTACCTACAGAGCATGGAAATGTCCAAGTGTTTAAATAACAAAAAAACTCGTGAGCCACTGGCTACCATGTAGGTACACCATGCTGTAATTCCAAGAAATTCAAAGCAGGTAAGAGACTGGTTTAGCAAGCAGGGGAAAGACAGTGCCTTGGTCATTTGATGAGCCACAGCAGGGTTTTTGTGCTGTTAGACATTCTCCTAAAGGGAGTGAGTACTGTCTGCTGTGTTATCAACTCCGTGGCATTCATTTGTGGTTCAGATGGGACAAGCTGTAGTCCCAACTCTAGACAACACACAGTATTTCATATCACTTTGTGCTATTTTTGGAAAGAACAAAAATGTATCTTGTGAATGTTTTTAATCAAACCCCCTCCACCAATGCAAGACCCCAAAAATGAGCACTGATCACTGAGGAAGGGAACACAAGCCAAGGTTCATCAGAAGGATTACACAAACACTTCTATCCTGAAAACCACCTCCTGAGTATGTACTATGCCAAACACACCAGTCCTCGCAGTCCACTAAGTGAAGCTGAGCACAGACTTTCAGTATTTCAGGAGGAAGGAGGTTTCTCATAGACAAGACAACTACACAAGCAGTACCTCTGCCCTCACGGAAATGCTTGGCCAAAATAGCCTTATTATAGTCTATTCCTGACTTAATTATAAACATGACATTATCCAACAAAGCAAGGGACAGAACATGCTTTTGGAGAAAGGCTGGGGCAGCGAAAGAGAGCGTGTGCGAGAAAGATGGAGAAAAGCATGAAGGAAGCCACTGACCCCCAAGAATAATGGATCAAGATCCTGCCAAGCCTGTTTCAGGCATGAAGTGGACAGAATCAAAGCCAAGAAGAAAATAAAAGGAGGCGCCCACATCCAAACAATAATTAAACAATACAGTATAAACAATGACACTTAATAGCCTTTTCCGCTGAGCGTGCAGCCGATACCTGCCCAGAGCCCTGCAGCAGCAGCAGGGGATATCTCACGAGCAGATCTCACCACACTAGTAGCTGCCAGGTAAGTCACACCCGGCACACGAGCTGGCACGTACATACATCAGCCATACATCAGCACCAGGGGCAGCAAGCAGCAACAACTCAACTCTGCCCCATAAGCTCCCAGTGCTCTCTTCAAACCTTCTCATTCCTGGGGCAGCAACTCTCGTGCTTCTCCCTGCAACCTGTCTACCACCAGGATTGCAAACATGGTCTTCCCAGTACCTACTTCTAATTAGCTAGAACTGCAAGCCTGGTGAGGGGCAGTCCACTGTCTTCACCACCACTTTTTTTTTTTTCTTTGAAGTTCAATGATCATTAGGTTTTTTCCTGAACAGGATAAGATAATGAGGAGTTCATGTAATTCCTACAAGCCACAAACCCCATTCTCAGATACAGCTGAACTGGCTGAAGATCAACAGCTCTTTGCAACAGAAAAAAAAAAAAAAAAGTCTAACAAAGCAAACTTGAGGTAGAGATGACATCTGAAGGCACCTGGATTAGCCTGGGCCAAAGAGTCTGCTTAGAGGAGTATCCACCAACACAGCCAGCCACAGAGCTTGTGACAGGCAAGCCATGGGACGTGACGCTCCCAACTCCTACCATTTCACCATCGCACAACAGCTTACTCACCCTCTGCCCTCACAAAGGAGGGGCAGCAACTGGGGCAAATTCTCTCTATTAAAAACACTCCCAGAACTAGCCTGGAAGGGTGTTGACAAAGCTATCCCAAAAGTTTTCAGCAGATGGTGTTTCCCTCCAGCTACAGTTCAACCTCACCGAGTTAACCTCTAGTTTGAGACAAAGAGCTCAACCTCAGCCCTCTGAGCTCAGGCTTATCCTTCTGTCTGAGTCTGTACAGCTCCTGTCACAGGGAGGTCCAGATCCTTTAACTCTGGTCACAGAAACAAAGAAGCTACTGCTGCTTGCAGTCGGAGATAGTTAAAAGTGCATCTCCTACCACTGTCCTGCTCTTAAAGGCGGGAGGGTGGAAAGAAGCCCAGGTGATCCATTCTTATTTTCCTCAGCTCCAACATTCATGCATTGAGAAATGAATGAATACAGGTAGAAGGAAAGAAGATAAGAATTGGGAAATAATCTTTGCTTGTGAATATGTTGCATGAAAAGATAAAAAGGAGATGAGATTAAGAACAACACTAAGCAAAGTCAAGAATCAAAATTAACCGTTTGTGATGAAAGCCAAAAAATAAATTCTCATTAGCAAAGATTCTTGTTTTAAAGAAGTTTTTCTGAAATCAAAACCAAATCGGTTGTGAAAAAAATACAAAACTGAAAGAAAATTAAATTATATCTACTTCATAGCTTAAGAAGCATTTGAAGCCAAGCAAAAAGAGGTCATCAAAGTTTCCTCTG